ATGACGAAATGAACTTATGACAACTGGCTTAGAAAATACATGATACAAAATAATGCAGTAGCACAGTGGTTAGACACTTGTCTACTGGCCAGAGGTCATGGGTCATAGTCCAGATCTTTTATTTCTACAGTTGACCCTGGCTCCCATATTGTCCTTGCCTAAATGGGCAACAAGAAATAAAGCTGACCAATTTGATGTTGACCACATCACCCAGCAAGCTTTGATTGGGCTACACCAGATATCCCTAGCACCATATGCACCACTGATGCGAAAAAGATCCTTTAGTTGCCTTAGGTTAGTTGCGTATCCTTTACAGGACGTTGCAGAACCAAACCTAACAGCCCCTGGCTGTTGTGTGGTTTTTCTAGGCAAATTTACATCCAGTAGTTTGCCATTGCTTTCAGGATTAGTTGCATTACTTACAATAAAAAGGTTAGGGAAATAAGTTGAAAATTTTAACAAAGGCCTAGGATTATACCGTTAATTGATGAGACAAAGTGAGGCAAATGCATACAAACTTATGATAATCAAACTGTACATAAACTTATGAGAAAGGGCGAGAAAAATACATAGAAACATAACAAAGGAAGAGAGAAACGCATAAACATAAGACACTGAATGAGAAAAATACATGATAGGTCAAAGGGCAAGATGGAAAAAAGAAGATTATGAACAATGTACATATCCAAATAATACCATTACTCTAGGCCAGGGGTAGGGAACATTCAGCCCACGGTAGAAGGGATATCATTCTGGCCGGCTGTGCCAAGGCGACTGCAATTAACCTTTTAACCAAATACAGAAGAATAAATCCTTTGTAGTGAGCAAGGCAAGCTGAGCGAGGGATCATGCAGTGTGGACAACACATGGCCTCTTTAATGCTGCCCAGGCTTTGTTCTATGGAGAGAAGAAACTTCATCGCCATGGGTATGATTCCCATGCTTCCCCGCAGCACAATATGACACTATCTTTTGAAACATAAAGCTGACAATTTATTAGCCATAGATGTTATAAACATGACAGTCGGTATGAGGTCCAAAATAACCATTCTGGCCTGGCCGAGCCAAGGCAGCCATAATTTAATGTTTGCATCACATACAGCAAACTTATTTTAAAATTGATTATTGTGTATTGTCTGGAATGATGTTATAAATATATAAATGGCTCCCTAGCCTTGCTCAGGGCAGTCATACACACTTCTACTCCTACACATCACAGACACAATACACGTCCCAGACAATACATGTGATCATACACATCACAGACACAATACACGTCCCAGAAAATACATGTGATCATACACATCACAGACACAATACACGTCCCAGACAATACATGTGATCATACACACCACAGACACAATACACGTCCCAGACAATACATGTGATCATACACATCACAGACACAATACACGTCCCAGACAATACATGTGATCATACACATCACAGACACAATACACGTCCCAGACAATACATGTGATCATACACATCACAGACACAATACACGTCCCAGACAATACATGTGATCATACACATCACAGACACAATACACGTCTCAGACAATACATGTGATCATACACATCACAGACACAATACACATCCCAGACACTACATGTGATCATACACGTCACAGACACAATACACGTCCCAGACAATACATGTGATCATACACGTCACAGACACAATACACGTCCCAGACAATACATGTGATCATACACATCACAGACACAATACACGTCCCAGACAATACATGTGATCATACACATCACAGACACAATACACGTCCCAGACAATACATGTGATCATACACATCACAGACACAATACACGTCCCAGACAATACATGTGATCATACACGTCACAGACATAATACCCAAGATCATTTGCCGCATTAATGACAGAAATCCAAAACAAAGATTTTAAAATGGGGAAACTCCCCATGTGGGTTGTATGGCCGCATTATGGAGAAAACAAGAACAGACCCACTGACTCCTTACAAAGTGTGTCGTAATTGGGGGTTTCCTTCAAAGTCAGAATACATGTGCTTGAGAGGTAAGGAACCAACAGTCTGCGTACAAATAAGCAAGATTTGCAGATGTGCATGCAACACTCAAGTTCTGGAACAAGATTAAAGTCCAGAAATGGACAAACAACCAGAACTTTCTGTCAGAGTTTACAGCCGGTGAAAGCTAAGAAGAACAAGAAATGGGAAACGTCACTGCCTCAGCTAGCCAGTCAGGGGTAATATCAGTCACCATTATATACACAGGCAATCATTGCATTCCCAAACATCACAGGAAATCATGCACATTGCTGCCTAACATCACAGACAAAAAGACTTTGTGATCATCTGATAGTCTAGAAGAATACATTCCAGGGAAAGCCTCCTCCAGTCTGCCATGCTCACAAGTTTGTGATTTTGCCACGTCTGAAACAAAATAAAAGTCAAAGCATGTTAGTGGTGCTCACTGGCTTTAAAATAAATTGTTCAAATTAGTAAGTTTTGGAATATCAGAATAGGTTAGATATGACATAATGTTGCTGAAAATGTAATCTGTTGGTTTCATATCTGTATCTGTGCTATTAGTGTTTCATATATATTTTGTGTATGATATGCCAAATACTTGATTATTTAACATCTCTGTGTGCCATAAGCCCCATAATTAAGCGTTTCACATATACTTTGTGTACTATAAGTCACATATTTAACTTCTTTTGTTAACTTGAAATAGATTATCTATAGCTGCAATGTTGTCTCTAGTATAAACTTCAGTCTGTAATCACCTATGTAACTGCTTAATATCTCCTGTGTGCTATAAGCCCCATGGTCAAGTGTTTTATGCTGCTGTTGTTTCAACCCCACCAGGACTGTACAACGAATGGCCAACAGCCGGTGACACAAAGTGTCATCATTCAGTGGCATATGTTCTAGAAACCATGTTCAACCCATAGGTTGGGTTATACTAGGGCTCCTGAATACAGCCAAGGTGGGGTTTTTAAATAACACAAAATTGTGTCCCATATTGGGACGTCTGTAATTGCAAGTGTTTTATGAGTGACTTTTTACCTCACTAGATATCACACTGAGCGATAAACACCCGGTGACACACAGTGCCACCATTCGAATGAGGATCACCCATGGAGAGGTCCCAGAAATCCGGTTCGACCATTAGGTTATATTAGGGCACCCCCCAATCACTAAAATGGACTTCTTTGAGCTCACTAGCATTGTGTGGCGCGGTGATTTATGTCACAGGCGTGAGGGGAAGTTAAGTCCAACATGATGTGTATAAGGAGATACTTCGTACGTCACTCGGGCGCCAGTCCTTTAATATCCTGGTTGTACGGAACCTCACGCAAGACCCCGGCAGCACGTCCTCGTCGTGCGCCACGGATAATGTCTCAAATGAGCATTAACAGAGCTGTCAGGGGATCTCGGAGTTTGGCGGCCCCCAGAGGTGATGTGTCCTTGTGGCTCTCATCAGTCCGCCCCCAAACGCTTGGGTGAAAAATGTTATTATAACTCATTAGGAACATGAGTAGGTCTGCCAAACGTACAGCCAAAATTACAACCCTTGGTTAAAAGACTGCGGAGTAAAGAGAACATTGTTCACTGCACATCCTCTGTTAACCCTCAGTGTCGTCGTCACCGCGCTGGGGTACACCACAACAGCAACCATCCATAGGCTGGCCATTCATGCACATCCTCGGTTAACCCTCAGTGTCGTCGTCACCGCGCTGGGGTACACCACAACAGCAACCATCCATAGGCTGGCCATTCATGTACATCCTTGGTTAACCCTCAGTGTCGTCGTCACCGCGCTGTGGTACACCATAACAGCAACCATCCATTGGATGGCTAAGCCTAAATGTCCGACAAAACTAGATCATACGGAGCAAAATCTGCCCTCAAAATTTGTATTGAACTGAAAAAGACCGAATGTCCACACCCAAAGACCCCACTCGCCCGAGTGTTGGGACAAAACTGATACGATATGCCTGGAGCAGGATGTAAAATTCTGTCGGGCTAACGGCTCGTCAAAGAAATCTAACGTGCGAAGAAAAAAGAATGTACCTATTTGTGTGGTCACAAAAGTCCAAAACCCACGGGCTGCTCCCCGCTGACTTCCAGAGGGCGCAGCCCCTGTCGAGCGGGAGGCCTGATACGGTTGTGAGGTTAAGCAGGCATGTGCAGGACGTGACGATTCCTTGGGTGAGCCCAGAACCAGAGCGCCATGTGCCGGCTCTGCATACATGGATGCCTCCTTGGATGGCGGGGAATGCCCATGATCTGCCCCTGCCTTCCCTTGAGGGCTAACTGCTCAACAGGGGGCTGACCCAAAGGGGTACTCCGGGGGCAATACCTGCGGCAAAGGAGACAATGTGGACACCACACAAATCAGGCAACGTCTCGACCCACACAAAACAATGGCCACAGTCACCCTAGAAATAGGCCTGACGTCTTCCTTCGAAGTCGGCGTACAGCTGCCGATGAGGCAGGGAAATGAAAAACGGTTGTACACGCAAAAATCAGGTCCAGGTGAAAGCAAAAAGTCCAAGCGGACGATTACCTGACCTTCCACTGGAATTCACAGCCGGTGTTCGATGAAAAAAAAAAAAAAAAAAAAAAAAAAAAACTAGCATTGTCCCTGGCCAGTTGACAATCAATGCTGGCATGTCTGATTTAGTGACAAATCCTTTTTGTTGCAGTATGATGACAGGCAGCATGGTATCTACCGTAGGCGAAGTAAATATTTAGCCCAACATTGTGCTGATGAAGTTTCACGGCACGGTGATGGTGATGCAGCGGTGTGTGGTTTGATCAGTCACAACAGAAGTAGTCAACTGGTGCAGACTGAAGGACTGCAGGTGGTGAATAATCTATGGCTACTCTCAGTATGCTACGATGTTGATTCTTAAATCAGTAATCTTTTCTGACAAATACTGAAGATTCTATAACACAACACATAAACTACTTTGGATATTGCTACAGTATACTTACTTCCGACTGTGTCCTTCCAAGGCCACCGAACACCGTTCTTCTGTATCTGTCCACTGCAGCTCTGGGTCGTATCTGGGTGTGGTTGGGCTCCGGCGTTTGCGAGACCCTGGGGAATCCTGTTTCAGCATCTCTACATCGTTGAAAATGACAGCAGACCCGCCGCTGACTGTTGGTATAACATCACCCTAATGGGGAAAAAAGAAATACACTGCTCAGTTTGTCTGAATTGAATATCTCCACCTTAATATAAAATAAATATCATGGTTAAACTCATGCCTGCCTGTCCAAAACTCTTGGGTCAAATTGTTTGGTAACTGACCTCTACTCCTAGGTCGTATAGCTCAAATGGGAATTCCCGTTGTTGTGAGACTGGTGTAGCCGGTCGGTGGTAACAATTGTTATAGAGTAGATTTATACACAAACTTTACAGTTTAATTAATTTGCAACATGTGTTATTGAATTAATTATCATTATGAAGGTAAATATTTTCTAATAGCCCATTTATTTATCCTTAAAATAAAAAATAATTCAATAACACATGTTGTAAATTAATTAAACTGTTGTTTAATTTGTGTATAAATCTACTCAATAATAATTGTTACCACCAGCCGGTCACACCAGCCTCACAAAACGTGAATTCCCATTTGAGCTGTGCACCCTTATATCTGGAGCTGCCGATGGTCAAACCAACCTAAAATGGGTACCATAAAATATCCTGGGAACTAAAGATGGTCAGCATGATGCTAACCACATCATACATCCAGTGCCCACTGGTCTATAAATATATGAGTCTAGCATTATATGCCTGCAGGGCCACTGGCATGAAAAAAAAAAAGTCCTTATCTTTTTAAATTATGTTAAGTTTTAACAGAAACCTAACAGGATACAAGTATAAATATTAGCTTATGTTCAACAATTGTACTTTATTATCAATGTAATCGTACAAAATGGTTTCACATATCCTTTATATAGTCTACAACTGGCAAAGTCTCAAATAACCCCACTCACAAAAAGTGGTAAAAAGACTAATGACAATTTTTTTTTTTTTTTAACTGACACTTGAACCGTGGTCCTGGGTGACAGTAAGGAGATGCCTGACTACTTAAGCTCATATAAACAGTCTTTTGAAAAGGACCACTTTTACTGAACACATCACCATAATTACTCCAGTCTCTCCTACACCCCCTACCCCCCCCCCCCCCCCCCAAGACATACCTATTTTCCAAAAAATTGAGGGTTTAAAAACAGTGCGCATCTTATACAGTTGTAGTAGCTTTTTACCAAATGAATTTTTCAAAGAAATATCCCGTACAGGGCCTCATTTGGGAATGCCGGTTCAGGGGCAACATAAAAAGTTTCTAGGAGAGACAAATGGAAGCAATGGAAGAAGTCTTCTGAGAACAATTTGATACCAGCAGGTAGTAAAAAGAAACCAGCAATAGAAAAAGTTTGTATCTGGGTGAAAAGTTTCAGGGATAGTGTGAAGATTGAGATCGTTGTCATATCATTCAAGAAGTGTAGCATTCCAAATGTCACAGATGGAACTGAGCATAAGGCAATACAGGAAGTTAGCGATTCATCAAAGACACAAATAAAGACATTCTAAAGAACTATCATTTTGAGGGGTTCTGACACTGATAAGGAGTTTTTCTGGATTTTGGGTTCAATAAATTTATGTAATCATTTTCAGTTTTTGTGTGGGTACTTTCCCAATATCTCCCACCAAACACGGGATTTCCACAGGTCATAGGACAGTCTAATATTTCAGGGGGTGGTAGATGAATCATTTAGCTAGTAATTTGGCATTTCATTTGCTGTGCAGTTTTGAGCTGTGCAGCGTGTACTTCTTGTGCTGTTTTTTTTTTTTTGTGTGCATTTTTCTGTGTTGTGCAATCGACAGGATGCAGTTTTGTGGGTGGTTTCTATTTTAATTTTGCCTAGGAGGAGGAGGACCTAGGCTGCATACTGTCATGAGACCTAGGCTGCACTTTCCCGTGGGTCGTGGGTGGGTTGGGGGTTAGAGTCAGTTGTGGATGTTTAAAGCGCTCACACTGTGGAATATAGAACATTCGATGCCACTGGTACTAGTACAGAAACAGAATGATCTGTCTGTAAGGCAGGCGCAGCCCTTTGAGACATATCCTTTTCCGTAACGGTATGTTTAGACAACAGGTCGACTTTTGACACCGCCATCGGTCCTCTCTTTCGGCCAAGCGATAACAGCATCGCATGATTATTGCGACAACGCCTGGTGTTATGCATAAGCCATGATGTTCCTTGTCAGACACAGATGCTGCTAATTCCAGGAAATTCATGGCAATGAAGACCGAACACACAATATGCTTGAGAGACGCCCGCCAGAAGAAGAAATGTGCCAAAGAAGAAACGTACCAACATCTTGGCAACACTTCGCAACGAAGGCACCCACACAGCGGGAAACCAAATCTTACCCTTAAAAATACTGGACTGTTCCATGACAGCAGATGGGGCGATATTTTGGTAAAAAACTTTTTTCTTCTTTAAAATTTCAGGTCCCAAAATCAAGGTTCAATTTATATACAAGATTCTCTTATACTTGGGGAAATGCGGTAGTTCGCACAAGATAAAAAAGTGTACTATGATACCAGCATGAATCTGCACTGGGAGCAGAATATTTTATACATTAAAGACTTTTGCAGACAGGTTTTTTTTTATAATTAAAGTTAGACAGCACCTTTAAAATTTCTAGTTTTTTCACCATTATTACAAAAAACCAAGTGCTGAATCCACTGTATGTGGATGAAAATATATCCGCTTTCTTACTTTGTTTAAACAAGTGAATGGTGAAATGTTTACACAAGTTAGGACATACCTCTCATAAAATAAACCTTTAGTAAAATGGCTGATTTGCATTCAAGCCTAATGCATTAAATTTGCATGTGTACGGCCTGCCTGTTGTAACAATATCTATCAATAAATTGCGATTCTGGTGGCAATTGTTGGTGTTGGCATCTCTAGCGACTGTCATATTATTTACTGCATGTGCACATTTCTGGATTTGTCCAGGTCTGGTTTGTTTACTAGATTTTAAATGGAGTTTTTTTCTTCTCAGCAGTTACTATCTGTAAATTCCAGCAGAAAGTTGTGGCTGTTATTCTGTGTCTGGAATTTGGTGTCGTTCCAGAACCTGAGTTTTGAGTGAACGTCAGTTTTACAGATCTGGCCTATTTGTTTGCAGACTGGTGGTTCCTCACCTCTCGGGAATATGCACTCCAACATCAAAGGAAACCTTAGTCATCTCTTATGAAAAGCGTGTGGGAGGAGGAGGGTAGGGGGGATGGAGGAAGTGTGTGTGTGTGTGTGCGCACACGCGCGCGTGCGCAGTAGGTCTATTCTTTTTTCCTCCAAATAGGGCCCCAGAACCCACACAGTGAATTCAACAAACCATCAGGACATGTGATTTTCACTGGCATAGCATAGAACGAAGCAATAATGGGGTGACTTAATTTGCAGTGAAGCTGCAACCTCAACAACCCTTTCATTAATATTTGTACTCACCTTAATCAGTTTTGTGACTAGTTCGTCATTGGAGTCCTGTTCCTGGTGGGTGAGCACATATTTAGTAGCAGACTTGGTGTCCTTGACGTCCAGTTTGGACACTGACTTCTTTCTTGTCATCGTAGGCTGAAACAAGGTATCTGTAAATAACAGAACAAATGTCAAGATAATTTATCCAAACATTCAACATTACCTGAAATGATGTTACAAAGAAGAAAAAGGTTGTTTATTGTGTCAGTGGGAAAGTTTTAGGAAAAATATGAGACAAGGATTAAACAAAAATGAGGTGAAAATTGTAGGCAATGGCAAAAGATAGGACAGGCTGGCATAGGTTGGTGCAAACATGTTCCAAAAAATGGGGTGGGGGGGGGGGGGGGGGGGGGGGGGGGGGGGGGGGGGGGGAATAGAGAGGGAGGGACATGGTAAAATAAAAATGCATCAACAGAAGGAATCATACTTGACCTCTTCAAATTAATTTCTTTGTTCAGCCATTCAAGGCCACACACAAAAACCACTAAAGATGTATTCCTTCATGGGTTCCAGGGCTTCATGTTGGGAAAGGGGGGAGGGAAATGTAGCAGACCCACTGAACCCCAACAAGTTTATCGTAAAAGGCAACTAATTAGGGATCTGTTGGGATCTGAGATATTTGGTCGAAAAGTGCAGATAATGCAGCCAAGCTGTATACCACAATATGACATGCCTGCTGCCCTTTTAAGGGTTAAAGCAGAAGAAGACAGTTTTGAATTTTATTGAAAAACTATTTACACATTTTGATCGCATGTCTTATCACCAGCAAGGTCATCCATGCTTCTTCGGGTTTCTTTTTTTTTTTTTTTCCCTCTAGCAGAGACGGAGTTTTCTATTCTAATAATGGCAAAAATGTTGCCCCTTTTAAAATAAGTTCTAGTGGTCGCTTGTCCGAATTAAAACGTTTAGACTATTTCTATGTAGATATGTTATACACAAATCTAAAAATAAACAAAGAAACATACTCGTCTCGATGCAGTCTGTTGGTTTATGCTCCAGCCATGTTTCAGCACTTCCAGATGATTTAGACCGCCTGTGGCTGCGATGGTTCACAATAGGCTGTCTCTACATGTCAAAAAACAAACACTTGTCATTCATTGCAATACATGGCCAGTCATACACATGCCATACATCAGGGCTGGTTAAGTGGCCAAATCTGACCCCTAGAGGCTCAGTTAGCAACTGGCCCATGGATCACTGCCAGTTGTGAATATTAATAACCTATCTAGGTAAAGGTGAGAGGATCAACTTCACTGCACCGGGTTGTATAACATATAGCTCAGTCTCTCTCCACAGAACAGATAGAGCATCACACAGAGCAGGGATCCCCGTAAAAATTGCACTTGTGAACTAAATAGCGCCACCTTAAAATGAACCCACGACCTCCAGATTGAGAGGCAAACTGTTTTACCCCATAGCCCGTAACAAAGCAAATTTTCAAAAATGTTTGAGTAAACGTAGTTGAACACAACAGCTCTACCATCCAAGATCAATAATAATGCCCTTTTTGAGAATACACCTTTCTTTAAATCCTGGGGAAAGGTTCAGTATCCCAGGGCATTTTAAAATATTGGTCTCCTGCCTAACATAAAATACTTATAGGGTAATCTTAGGTGCTTTATTAATATCCTGCGAAAGATGACATCACAGGACAGTTCAACATTTTAGAGGGGGTAAGACTGGGTTTCCCGGCATTCTGATGCTTTTAACGACCCTAAAACATCTAGAACTGACACTAACCTCAATCCACCTACGCCCTACGAGAGAGTGCAGCCTAGGTCCCACGACTGCATGCAGCCTATCTACCACCCCCTGAAATATTAGACTCTCCCGTGACATGTTGATTTTCCCAGTTTGGGGTAGGATATTAATAAAGCACCTAATCTTTTTCACTATGGATTAACTTTCTTCTTCTTCCACCCTCATGTTGTTTCCTCCCTTCCTTTCACACTGTCTCTTCTTTTCTTCTTCCTTGCTCTTTTTCTATTTCTACTGTCAAACTCAAACATACAGTTTGTGTTGTCAGTTACAGAGTATTCTTCATTACATATTACACAGGACACATTTAGCGGCATTACCGATTTACTGATAGATGGAGTGACTCCGGCAAGATCAAGGTTGGTGATGGATTTCGCTGCTGGAATCCTAACTGTGTTCCGTGACTGGACTCTGGTGTTGCCAATACGGCCAGTAGCTGCTCTGGCAGATGATGCAATGGTGCTTGATCCAACTGAAGTCATATCTGATTCAGATCTGTAAAAGAATACCAATGTCAAACTATCATTTTTGTTAGCGTTTATCTGAATTAACCACTGAACAGTGCATAACATTTTAAACATGTCCTTTTGTAGGTATGTTACTAAAAAAAATTTAAATATATCTTATCAAGACATTATAGAACATATGGGGTAACTTTGAAAAAAAATAATTATGGAAAAAGTACTGGAAAGTTCTCTCTCCCTTTCAAATGACTAGCAACAAGGGTCTTGTCAACCTACACATCAGAAGATCAAGTGGTTAGGGCATAAAATTAGAATGATGCAGAAACATCAGTTACCAACAAAGGCATTACATCTAAGATTGTATACGAAAAAAGTAAGAGGGTGGCCAAAACGAATATGGATTCACGACATTAAAGAAATTGTAAATTCACAAAGAATCAAATAGCCGGTCAATTCTGCTGTGGGTGATCTGGCTGCAGACCTTTTGGCACTGATTTCTCTAACAGTACGGGGTGCCAACCATTCAGTAGCGAAAGTAGAATACTGAAGGTAAAATTGCCCAGTAGACCCGCCAACAGCCGAAAAAAAATGTAGATGTTGACCAGGGAAACTATGTGCAGAGATAGAAGGTAGGGAAACAGAGGGGGGTCGGGGACAGGCTTTTGTCTCTATATTTTCTTCTTCGTGTTTACCAGCTGTAAATTCTGAAGGACTTTTTGGTGGTTTGTCCATTTCTGAGCTTTGGTCTTGATCTTAACTTGAATTTTCCATGCACATCTATTTTACAGATCTCACTTTTTTTTTTAATGCAACTTGTTGGTTCCTTATTTCTCAGGCAGATGCCCTTTAACTTATAAGGAAAGACTCCTGATTGGTCGCCTTTTATGGCATGCTAACTAAGGGGCAGTAGGGCTATCCATCCCATCCCCCACAAAATGAGGCCCCAGAACTTTCACAGGAAGCACAGGATTGTATACAGGGAAATAGGGGAGACATATATTTGTCCAAGTTTCCACATGATAGCAATAATGCAGCTACTGAGTGTCGCAAAAATCATTTAAGCAACAAACAAAAACATAATGATAAAAAACAAATAAAAGAGTAACAACCTTGCACTGGGCAGAGCAGCAGGTGTGGTATACGTCCGTGGTTTAGGTGTCGGCTGAGGGTGTCCTCTAGACCTCAAGAGCGGAGTGGCACATTCATTCTCGTTGACAATGTCACGAAGCATCTCTAGTTTCCTGTCACGTTCATCGAGCTTGCATTCTGCTTCTACTTCAAACTTCCGTCTGGCTTTTTCCTGAAATTCAGATAAATAACTTTCATCAAATTCATTGTTAGTGATAAAAAAAATTTGTGATAATTTAAAAGACACTCAAAACTTAAAAGTAAAATAATTTAAAATCCAAAAAAAAAAAAAAAAAAAAAAAAAAAGTAGGGGGAGAGGAAGGGAGAGAGAGAGAAAGAATGACAATTTTGTTTGTGATATAATTATTCAACACTGAATGAGGAAAACTTTTCACTTTTCCAAAGAGTACATGTTTTTTTTTTTTTTTGGGTATTGTGATTATTATAAAATTCTTAGCTTAAGAATCTCAGCAAATCTGCCCACATTTATCCGGAAAACGACCAAAAAAAAAACATTTTTCCCCTTTTGAAAGCTTTAAGATACATCACAAGTTACACACAAAACCTGATTTTTTTCAGAATCAAACATATTTTTGTGAGACCAACACTGCAGTAAGCATACACTGAGATCATTCTCAACGTTTAAAATAAAGGAAAATCATATTACCAAATTCTTTTCCCATGCCTGATTGTTCATCTGAATTCGATTTTGGCAATCACTTCTAAGTTTTTCCCTTGCATTCCTTTCAACTTGAATCTTCCATGCCTTATCTTGGACCTGTTTAAAAAAATGTAATATAAATTGAAATCTAAAAACTCAGAAATATAATATAAATGGAAATCTACAAACTAAGAAATGTAATACAAACGTAACTTTACAAACTAAGAAATGTAATACAAACAGAAATCTCCAAACAAGAGAAATGAAATATAAACGGAAATCTACAAACTAAGAAATTTAATATAAATGGAAATCTACAAACTAAGAAATGTAATATAAATAGAAATCTACAAACTACAGTAAAACCTCATATAAGAACATTCAGTTATCACGAACAAAATTATGGCCGCAGCAGAGATGCATTATTATTGTTACTCCCCTAGATGCAAATGGTTGAACATAAACTCCATTTTTGGTCATCTGGAATTTGTGCTAGTGAAGTTTTACTGTACCCAAAAAATACACTTGATTTTCAATAACATGTAGTGGATCTCCAATACTGGTCCACGCCAAAATGTATCTCTAGTTAATCGCAGTTAGAGCTTCACGATAAACAGGCTACCCTATAGTTGCTCCGCTCCTGTGCCAGGGAAAACACAAAATTGTACCAAGGGAAAACCACACATGCAGACTGCTGTCCTTTTTTTTAAAAAAAAAACCTTTTTTTTTTAAATGTGTGTGTGGAAAAAAAACTGCGGCCTCTGCAAAGCTCAATAGCATACAAAAGAAGCATTCAAAAAATAAGTCCAAAGGGCCAAAAACAAACAGTTCGCCACTAGACTTTCAGTTCACAATCAATGGAAGCACCAGTTACAAACAAATCAGCAGTTGCATATACACCATCAGTTCTGTGGCAACAGTCTACTTGCCATTTTTCTGAATTTGCAGTTCACACGGGTGTGCAAAATCGAGCTTTGAGATGCAAGCATCACACTAAGAGCACAAGATGTTTCATTAACCAACACAGGAAGCTGCCTAATTATATTAACTTACTTTGTGCTTATATATGTCAACCTTCTCGCCGTGAGAACCATTTTTAAAAAAAGTTGGGGCAGGGGGTTCATGACCCTGTTGGTATTCCATGTCGTGAAATGATAAGCCATTCCGCATCAGTCTGTAAGACTGGTAACCTAACTTACCTGTAAATCTTCACAAAATTCAAACTTGGACTCGCCCGGAAAGATATAGTCCCCTATATCTATATATATAGGCCTTTATTGGACAACATTATTATGTCTACCTTTTCTGGTTACTTTAACTAAACTCCACTTTTAAATGTATATATCTTTGATTTATATTAGAGGAGTTAATTGAGGTTTCTTAGAAACCGATGCACTCCTTGCCCATGTATACTAGGGACTTCTTTTTTTTACCAACGCCTGAGGTGTCTAAGTGACGCTATTCTCTTTGCCAGCTTCTAAGCGTCCAGACGTGTCAATCTATGCCTGTATAATTTCAATTTTCAAGACGGTCTGGAATGTCTCAGTTTTTACATATGCTTGGGTAAGTTAATTATAGTTTACGAGTACCTAAAATGATGTCTGTAAAGTAGTCACTGCTATAGAGAGATCAGTATCGGCTGTGTGATCACACTTAGTTCGACCGTTCTTGATCGCTAGAGAAGCGGATTCGAACGTAGACCTTCCCCTGTACAGATTAAATAGCTTATGCCCTCAATAACCACCCATACTGGTAAAATTAATACCCTTACAAGTGTGTACTTTTTAAACTAACTATAGAAATTTGTGCATACAAAATGGGGACAGAATTAGGTCAGGACTGTGTCGTCCAGTGTATGAGTATGGTTGACCCAGATCAAAGGAATGCTAGGACGGGCTTTTGGGAGTGTAAGGATTAAATGTACTGACAGTAAATATTGGTGTCTGTGTGCAGAGGGAGGGGAGAGAGAGAGTGATATATGTGTTAGAACACTCTATCTATCTCCACTGTATATCTGACTTGCCTTCTCTTGCACTAAACAGACAGATGAATATCAGAGACTTGTGTCTCTTGGTCTGGAGAGACATTCTGAGGAATGAAACAGAAGAGCAGGGTGGAGTAAGCAAATGGGGGTGATGACTGATGCTTGTTCTGTCTTTCCTGTCAAGATGTTACCCTCTTGGTGATGACTAATTCTGAGTTATTTTCTTGACAGGATAAATCCTTTGTGAGGAGCTGGCAGAAGTTTCACAGTCCAACCAACACCCACCAACCACCAACCAACCATAAACCCATAAACCACCTACCCACCAGCTAACACCTGTGAAGGTTCCTGACATCTCCAACATGTGGGAGATTGTACCTCAAACAGCTTACCAGTGCTAGAGCTTAGGGTAGCTCAAAGACAGTGTGTATTCTACTTGGTGATAGAGACTTGCTAAGTACCAGTGCAGTATTGTGTCCTCTATGGTGAGGTACTCTCTGACTACTTGATCCAGTGGAGCAGAATTCCCAGAGTCAAAGACAGTCAAATCATCCGGAGTGGAGGGAGGCATCATAGACAGGAAGAGGAAGCTAAGTTTGAGGCTTCATGTGCTTTTTTTTACATCACAGCTCCTATGTTTTCCTATGATGACAATGTGTCATCTCCAGGACCTTCTGTCTGTGTAATTTTGGTGATCTAGACATTGTATCCTGAAATCCAGCTACAGAAATCTGGCATCTGCTTCTCTATATTTTTAATGTATATATATATATATATATATATTACTGATTACATGCATTCATTTTCATGGCTGACTTAGGTTTCTCTATTTCACCTTTTTAAGTGTTTAGCAGTTGTGTGTGTATGTATCTTCATTATATGTGTTAACATGGTTATGATAATGACCTATCATAACCTGGGGGCTTTCTTTAGTAAGTAGTGGGGGTGTCCAGCCAAGTGTGCCTAGAAATATTGTATTCATATACTGACATATTTTGTAGTGCCAATATTTGAGTTGCCCTACTCCAGAGATAAGTTGATCGTATATTGGCCACGGGGAATCCCTTAGACCAATACGAGCCAAACGACTCAACATAATTATCTCTGAGTGCTGTTGGTTCTGAAGGAGAAATCCTTACATTAGGCACGCGACAGGAGTGATATGTGACATTCCAGATAAAATCCTTTTAAAAATATTGCTGCACAGGTCTCTGATAAATTTGTTATTAATTATTTTATCTAGTTTTTTTGTTGTTGTTGATATAAATGGAGTAATCAACAAAAATGAACAAAGTAAGGCAATAAATGAGGCCTGAGGCCTAAACAAAAATGTATGTAAAAAAAAAATATGTATTGGGTGACTCATGCTGTGACCCTGTGCCCTATATCACTGAGGTTTACCGAAAAATGTGATGTCTGTTTGGCTCTAAAAAGCCGCTTGGCTCAAAAGAAAACCCCTCTAAATGATGATATTAGTTAAAGTATTCATACCCTGAACTCCTAAATGTTAGTGCAGGCGAAAAAACAGCCAATAACATTAACTACGCGTCTCATGCACAGGTCACTATAGACAAGTTACAAGAGACATTTATGGGGAACTGGACCCAACTGGAAGTGGCGGTTTTGCTACTTCTCGGTGTCAAAGGGTTGGAGGATGGCACTGATGTCATTATACATGTTAAGTCAACCATAAATCCACCCCATTTTTTCAGAAACCTATAAAGGCAACAACATTTTCCACTGAAACAAAACAACATACATTTTAAAAAATATACAAAAATTAACTTCCACACGACCAAACTCACCTGCAGGCTCAGCAACTGATTTTCCTTCTCCAAGTCCTTCAGCAGTCTGTCACGCTCTTCCAGTTTCTTCTCCAAACTTTTGTTCTTGCTGTCCAGCCGAGCAGCTTCCTTCTCTTTCAGTGCTGACCTTTCCTCAACCTCTTGGAGACGGTTCCTGGCTTGTATGTAGTTTTGTTCAAGTTCCAAGAGTTGGGAGCGAAATGAGGTGCCTGCGATAAGACAGAAACCAGTCAGTCATTGCAGGATATAAAGTATTGCACACAACCACATTAATGATGTGAAGTGTCAAACAATACAGAAACATATTTCGTGAATTTCAAGAAAACACCTAGACACCGTCTTTATCTGGGCATTTACTGCAATAGAGTGCCGTATTTCTTAATTTTATCAACCTCGACAATGTGGGGAAGGAAGGGAGTAAAGAGGAGGGAGGGAAGGAAGGAGCAATTTATGCAATCTTCATTAAACAGCAGGTACTTTACAGAACATCATTCTTGTCATGGCACATCTGAAAGTTTCTCTTTCCCTAGTGAGTTCTCCAGCCCTATGTGCTTTTATAGCCAATGCATCTGTACCTTGGTGGAGGTTCATCTGTACCTTGGTGGAGGTTCATCTGTACCTTGGTGGAGGTTCATCTGTACCTTGGTGGAGGTTCATCTGTACCTTGGTGGAGGTTCATCTGTACCTTGGTGGAGGTTCATCTGTACCTTGGTGGAGGTTCATCTGTACCTTGGTGGAGGTTCATCTGTACCTTGGTGGAGGTTCATCTGTACCTTGGTGGAGGTTCATCTGTACCTTGGTGGAGGTTCATCTCTGCCTAGTTTTCTAGAAACTGTACCCTCCATGACCTTTCTCTCCAGGCCATCATGACCTTTCTCTCCAGGCCACCATGACCTTTCTCTCCAGGCCACCATGACGTTTAACATGGCCTAAATTCCCCAGCTTTCGGGGATGGGATGCTGTTTATGAGCCAATTCTCCTTATTGCTCAGCTTATGCAGTATGTCAGTGCTTTTCTTTTTTCCCAGTCCATGGTATTCTATTTTTTTTTGTTTATTTAATGAAAGGGTAAGATATGTGCAACGTGGAATTGAATTTTTGAAATTTCACATTAAGTGTCCGAGACGGAAAGATGGCTTTGAAGTAAGGTAGTTGCCCCTAGCCAAAACTGTTCAGACTTACTATATGTGAAGAAGAATGTATCCGCTCAGACACTGACATTATCTTTACGGGATTCGACCAATTTCCTGGATGTTATCCGCTCAGACACAGACATTATCTTTACGGGATTCTACCAATTTCCTGGATGTTATCCGCTCAGACACTGACATTATCTTTACGGGATTCTACCAATCTCCTGGGTGTATCTATTTTTCAGTCATTTACCAATCTCAACAAACTAAACCTATGTGCAAGAAACAAAACATACTTACATGATCGCTCATAATCCACTGCCATTTCTCTTTTCCGTTTCATTCTTTCAGTCAGGCACAGAACGATGTTTCGAATGGTCATGTCATCGGTTGGATTCAGCAACTGGAAAAAAAAACAAAAAAATCTGTCAATAAAAACCCATCAAACCAGAAGAATTTCACAATACATAAGAGAAAATTGTACATTAAATAAGCAAAATATTCTGGGACAATAATGCAAGCAAACTTCTATACTGAAGAGTCCATCCTATATATAATTCCGGCAGACTAATCTGCAAATGAGATTTATTTACAGCAGATCATCTGGGAGGAAGGCAAAGAAAGAGATGGATAAATGATGCAGCTGAAACCTGTGCGCGCACACACACAAAAAGACAGACAAATCCATCACCCAAACCACCCGAAAAGAGCAAGACAAATACAGAAAAACATGACATATGATTGCAACCTGATATCAGTGAGATGAGTTGAGACAAGGATTGACAACACAGCACTCTATGTGCGCTCCGTCCTCATCTTCTACAGCCAGTACAGAGTTCCAGTACTAATGGTACTGATTGTAATCTGGTTATATGTCAGTCTTGCCTTTCCTCTGAGTGTAGTGAGCTGGCAAAACTAGTTACACCCAGGTGCATCATTCTCTTTAGGCCATAATAATTTTGTTTCTCTTCTGATTTCATTACATGCTCCCAAATGGCCTTGACCACATCTGCTTTGTCATGTATCATCAGTGAGATGATAAAAGAAGTCATGAGACGATAATAATGACATAATCAGGCATCTTCAATACCAGTACTCGGGTCTCACGAATGGTCTGTTAATGTACTCAAATCTCATTTTTAGCATTATTTCAAAGACTTACCTCAAGTAATGGGAAAGGTGGTCCGACTGTAAACTCTACTGCAGGAAAGATAGGAACACCTGAAAGTATTTGATAATACAAGTGAACTAGTTAGTTAGCATTGTTTGCAATATGTATTCAAACAAATTTTTTTTTTTTTTTCAAACTAGAGTATTTGCCATGTTAGCAGGGTAAAGAGATTTTTTTTAAGACACAGGGGCTGTAGACTAATTTAAAACTAACAGTGTACAAATTGGGATTCATAAAAATTATATAGTCAAATTTTAAATGTATTTAATCATTCTAAATATATTAGTCAGTTAGCTGTGTATCCTTTACTGGACATTGCAGAACCAACCCCAGCTTTTTTGGGCTGTTGTGGATTTTCTAGGCAAAGTTTATGTTAAAAAGTTTGCCATTGCTTACTGGGCGGTCAGCTCTCGGCACCGAGGTCGAAACCAAAGCAAGACAAATTGTCCGCAGTTGGGATTGCACACGGCATCCTAACATTACGAAGCATGTTCGCAATGCCTAAGCCACAGACGCCGACCAATCTATATTACAAACCAGAAATCAGAGGATTTTACTGTCAAAGAAAACTACTTTACAAACTGGTTTTATCAGAGGATTTTACTGTCAAAGAAAACTACTTTACAAACTGGTTTTATCAGAGGGTTTTACTGTCACAGAAAACTACTTTACAAACTGGTTTTATCAGAGGATTTTACTGTCACAGAAAACTACTTTACAAACTGGTTTTATCAGAGGATTCTATTGTCACATAAAACTAATATGAACGATGAAGGTATTCATGAAAAAGAAAAGGAATTCTTTAGCCAGTCTTTAAAAACAGGGGAAAAAAACAGGATGCCTTTTAACTCAGGTTAACAACAATGAAAAAAGAGGCGGAAGATGACCAAAATAACAAGTTAGTGCACAAAGTCAAAAATATATTATTAACAAGATGTGGTCCTGAAGAGATATAACATCCATGTCGGTCAGATGAGTACAGTAGAGATGACTCCTCCCCCCCCCCCCCCCCCCCCCCCCAGTTCGGGAAGTATCTGTGGCTTAGGCCTGGCAAAACTCAACTGCAGGCAATCTGACAGCAGACCACTTTGCACTGATTATGATAAAGGTGTGAAGAGCCGGCCGTTCAATGAGCAACGGCAAAACTACTAAACATAAAATTGCTACAGTAAAACCACAAAAATGCTGGTTACTTCTGCAACATCCTGTTAAGCAGGCATATCAAACTGAGGGTCCCCCAAGGGCCATACCTGTGTTGTAACGAAGGCCACACACAACTAACTGAAGTCATTTATTCAATTAATTTAAAATTGAAAAAAAAAAAAACAATACTGCATGCAAAGGGCAGTACGTTTGACAGGCCTGTGGTAAAGGACACACTGAACTTTGTTAACTAAGTTATTTGTTCCCCCCCCCCCACCCCCTATTTTCTGGGTCTTGTAAACTTACAAATAACACAACAGTTGAATATGTAATTTACCTATTGGTTCCATCTTGTCCAACTGTTCCTGATGCATACGTCTGCGGCCAGGTGTCATACCAATGTCAAATTTACTCATCTCTTCAGACTTTGCGGTGACTACTTCCTGTGTGAGCTCTGCAAACTTCATGACATGCTGTAAAACAGAAAAGGAAACCGATTAGCATCTTGGTTTAAACAAAAACCTGAATCAATCTACCAACATCACAGTCAAACTATCATCTTTAGCGCAGACTAAATGAACATTTATAAATAACATCTTAAAGGCTCCCACTCGGATGAACACCCTTTTGGACCTGGAGTTTAACACCCTGAACACATCCATCAGGACTGCTGAACACATCCATCAGGACTGCTGAACACATCCATCAGGACTGCTGAACACATCCATCAGGACTGCTGAACACATCCATCAGGACTGCTGAACACATCCATCAGGACTGCTGAACACATCCATCAGGACTGCTGAACACATCCATCAGGACTGCTGAACACATCCATCAGGACTGCTGAACACATCCATCAGGACTGCTGAACACATCCATCAGGACTGCTGAACACATCCATCTTTACTTTGTGTGGTTTAACATGAAAATATTCACAATGAAACAAGGGGCTGATGAACCAAGCATTTCGGCAGGAAAGTGAAGTAGGTCTAGCAGTCCAACAGGTGATCGATATTTTGATCGATTCAGACTCTGAGGAGTCAAAATTTCATGAAGAAAATATTCTCAGCTGAAATGACTGTCAGTGAGAGCCTGAATGATGGGAAGAATCTTGAAAAATATATATTTGAAACTATATTGATAGTAAGTCTGCTTTTATTCCCCCCCCCCCCAAAAACAATTAATGCTAATGACAACAACTACAGGGTATTTGCACCATACATCTGTGTTTCCCAAACTGTGCGCTGCAACCTCTTCACAGGGGCACCGCAAAATATTTGAAGATACACAAGTTTTTTTTGTTTTTGTTTTACCTCTCACATAGGAATAGTCATACTTTTACTATGTTAGGGCGCCGTGAAAAATTTTAATTGAAAAAAAAGGGCGCTGCAACTAAGAAAAGTTTAGAAAACAGTGTCATGCATCTTGGAAAATATATCCCCTAAATTTACTGAATTTGTTCACTCATGTTTCACCAACATATAAAAGAATAGGCTCGGCACAATATTTCAACAAGAACATATTGTCACTTACAATGGTTTCTTCATAGTCAGCCACTTTGGGGTTGACGCAAACAATCATGCGCACTTTTCCGTCACCATCAAAGAAATTCTTGAATAAATGTGTCAGCTTTGAGTCTCTGTAAGGCACCAGCTGTTGAGAGAAAGACCAAGTTTCAACAAATGGTTCCTATATAAACTAGATGTTGTATAGTTTAACCAATCAGGGGACTAAAAAAAATGGATAAATGGTGTTGATGAAACCTGAAAAAAAGGTAGAACAAATCCATCACTCAGGCCAGCGGAGAAGTGCATGACAAATACAGAAAACCAAGACACTGGGCGACAACCTGGTAACAGTGAGATGACAAAAGAAGAAGCAGAATCAGTTGTTTTACAGATTTGCACCATGCAACTTTTAAATTAAAATTTTCAAGACTCAACAATGAAGGAATTATGCTCACTGTGGTTAAAACCTTATTGATTAAAAAGTTAAAACCTTACTAAATGAATTAGTTGAAACCTTATTCTTCTTCTTCTTCTTCGCGTTCACCAGCTGTACTCTCTGGCGGAAGGTTCTGGTTGCTCGTCCACTACTGAACTGCAGTCCTGCTCCAGAACCTGAGTGTTGCGTGTGCATCAGTTTTACAGATCTCATTCTCTTGAATACAGACTGTTGGTTCCTTGCCTCTACGGCAGATGCACTCCGACTTCAAAGGAAGCTCCCCAATTAGTCGACTCTTACGACATGCTTTTGGGGAAGGCAGTGGGTCTATTCTTGTTTTCCCCACAATGGGGCCCCGGAACCCACACGGGGGTGAAACCTTATTAACTGATTAAGTAGTTAAAACCTTATTAAGTGATTAAAAAGTTAAAACCTGACTAAATGATTAAGTAGTTGAAACTTTATTAACTGATTAAGTAGTTTAAACCTTATTAACTTGACACTTTTGGTTACATTTAGAAAATTCCTCCCAAAAGGTGATTACTCTACTCCAGGCATCTGATTATGCTTAGCAAATTTACCCTGAGGTTGTTCTCACATCTGATTAACCCCATACTCCTGGTTACATGCTGAAAAGTCATCCCACAAGGCATTACTCCAGACTCCTGGTTATTACAAGTTGAAAATCCCTGCCACAATGCATTAACTCTAGACTCCCAGTTACACGCTGAAAATCCCTGCCACAATGCATAAACTCTAGACTCCCAGTTACACGCTGAAAATCCCTGCCACAATGCATAAACTCCAGACTCCCAGTAACATGCTGAAAATCCCTGCCACAATGTGTTAACTCCAGACTCCCAGTAACATGCTGAAAATCCCTGCCACAATGTGTTAACTCCAGACTCCCAGTAACACGCTGAAAATCCCTGCCACAATGCGTTAACTCTAGACTCCCAGTTACACGCTGAAAATCCCTGCCACAATGCATAAACTCCAGACTCCCAGTAACATGCTGAAAATCCCTGCCACAATGTGTTAACTCCAGACTCCCAGTTACATGTTGAAAATCCCTGCCACAATGCGTTAACTCCAGACTCCCAGTTAAACATTGAAAATCCCTGCCACAATATGTTAACTCCAAACTCCTAGTTACACGGTGAAAATCCCTCCCACAAGGCGTTAACTCCAGACTCCCGGTTACACTGTGAAAATCCCTCCCACAGGGTGTTAACTCCAGACTCCTGGTTATTACAAGTTGAAAATCCCTCCTACAGGCGTTAACTCCACTTCTGGTTACACACTGAAAATCCATTCCAAAAGACGATATCTCCAGACTTCTGGTTACACTTTGACAAATCCTCCCAAAAGGCGTTAACTCCAGATTTGTGACTAAACTAAAATTACTTTCAAACCTTTTTCACTGAAGGCTTTGACCTCTGGGCACATCTGGAAACCTCTGCTGGAACTTTAAAGGAGGTAGACATTCGAGAACACCTGGAAAAATCTGCCGAAGCCCTGCCAGCTGAAGGCTCTGGATTACGCCTGGAAATCTGTGTCGAAATATTGCTTGTTGTAGACTTCGGATTGCACACAGAATATCGTGTACGTGCGTTGTCCACTGTAGACTTCTGGTTACTGCTCCTAGAAAACTGTGACGAGACGTTAACTGTAGACTTTTGGTTACTGCTTCTAGAAAATGTTGACGGAGTGTTGTTAACTGTAGACTTCTGACTAGTGCACCTAGAAAACTGTGACGGGTTGTTAACTGAAGTCTGCTGGTTACTGCTCTTAGAAAACTGTGACGGGATGTTAACTGCAGACTTCTGGTTATTGCTCCTAGACAGCTGTGACGGAGTGTTGTTAACTGCAGACTTCTGATTAGTGCACCTAGAAAACTGTGACGTGTTGTTAACTGTAGACTTCTGACTACTTCCAATGGGCAACTGTGACAGAGCGCTGTTAACTGCAGATTTCTGACTACTGCACCTAGAAAACTGAGTGAGAACTTTGTTAGGCGTAGACATTCTGGAACACCTAGAAAAATCTACAGAAATATCGCTAACTTCTAAATTATCACTGCCCCAGGAAACCTGTGCCCCAGCTCTGGCAGCCGCAGGTTTCTCACCACACTTAGAAAATTGTCCGCAAACCTTGTTAGCTCCAGTCTTCTGGTTCTCCCGAAGAATCTCCAAACAGGTACGAAGCACCAGCAAAGACTGATTAATATTGCCAGCTTCTTTCAGTCTATCGCCAGAGTTTTTGGTGCGGTTCGTTCTCTCACTGCCGGCAAGATCCACAAGTGACAACTGCGACACACAAAGTCGGCTGGGGTCCTGGATGGTAAACAAACAGATATGTTTTGTGAAGCTGACTTTTCTCAGTTTGCGGGTTACAATCAAATGAACTCTACCAACTATTAAAAACATTGGATGGCAACAACATTCCTGAAATCCCAAGCTCTTATTGTCTAAGGCTTTTTGTAACACAGGCAGGTCTTGCTAGTCCCACTTACCATTGCCACGCAGTGATACCCATGCATCCTCATAGAATATATGTAACAGTTGTCGCGTGGAAAGACGGAAAGGTGCCAACCAATACCAGCTATAGAAATTACATTTTAGGAGCATTTATTGTAACAAGGAACTGAAGTATAAAAAAACATTTTAAAAAAACAGACATGGAGTGACTTGCACACAGTAAAAGACATAATCTTCTTATCCAACATTCACTCTTAAAAGGACAGTTGGCACATTGTGCTGTGGTCTACAGCTAGGGTAGGATATCTGCATTATTCAGCTCCACATTTTCAATTAAAGCAAAACCATAATTTAGTTGCCTTTTATGACATGCTTGTTAAGGGGCAGTGGGTCTATTTCTACATCCCCCCCCCCCACCCCAATCAAAACAGGTCCACAGAAGCCATATATTAGAAATCTAGAAGAAGCCTTGATATTAACTAACTATATGCCCCACAAACAGGTCACAAAACACAAGATAAAACAAAGATGAAATTTAGGGGGAATGACCCCAACCAGATAAGTTGGTTTTCCGGCTTCTCTTGATGACTGGGTTAAATTAAAATGTAGCAATCAATAAGTGTGAGAATGGCCTGACCACTTCCCATGAAGCTATCTATGTCTATTATACAACAAACTAACCGCTTGTCAGTGCGTATCAAAAGCAATAACCATCTTACCTGAACGACTTGCTCTCCCCTATCATCCAACGGTGCCTGCACCAGTCGAATGTTGAAAACGCTATGACTTCTGCTGGACTCAGCATTCAGTGTCGTGTGGGCAACTTTCCGTCTCCTCTGACCTGATATTCATGATTAAATAACAAAAAACAAAACAGGTCAGTTGAATGGAAGATGTTAAGGATTGCAGTTGTTAGGAATTTCAAATAAACCTGAGATCTTTTAAGCAAAAAGAGTTTGGTTATAGAAGAAAAAGTTTCAGTCAAGTTTCTTATTTACCTTCTGACTTCTTTCCACTGTAAATTCTGGAAGCCACAGTAATACAATGGTTAGTATAACTGCCTGCGAACATAAAGGCTGTAGGTTTCATTTGTCAATTTTCTTTATTAAAACTCACCTCAGTTGTCTTTGTTTTTTAAAGGGTACCTGGCAATATCCTGGAGAGAAAAGGTGACGTGTATTATACTGAACAGATCACCTAACATGACTCAGACTATCAATAAAAAATATGGGATTGGCACCATATGCAAAATACACCTCAAGAAAAAAGAGATCCCCCTAAAGCAGAGAAGTCAGTAGGATTAACATCTCAACGATGAGGTACAAATTCTGCAAACCCTCCCTGTTTAACTGTATAACCATAAAGCAGTTATACTGTGGCACCACAAAATGGTTACAGGGTAACCTGTATTCCATTATCATCCTAGCTTGTGGAAAAGGTGTATCATTAGCTCTTTCTTGTACACCAGCGTCTGTGGCTTAGGCTTTGCAAGAGTGTTTTGTAATATCTGGTTTGATCCAATCCAAGCTGTGGACGATCCAGTAATAGACTGCCTTGCATTGGTTTAAACAGTGGTATTGAGAGGTGACAGCTGAGTGAGCCAATGAAAACTACTGAATGTAAAATTGGCAAGTAAAGATCAAACAGCAACAACAACAATGCTGAGGTTAGTTCTGCCACATCCTGTGAAGGACAGGCAACCAAATTTAACTTAACTGTTCACTCACCACATGCAGGTTAATGGGGGTAGGGGTGTGTGTGTGTGTGTGTGTGAACCGTAAAAGGTCCGCAACCAACACCGGCAATTTTTTCCAGATACAGTAGTCTGGATATCAACCACAATTGCCAACTGCACTTTAAAGTTGGTGAACGCAGAAGAATTATGCAGCCAGGGAACCATTACAAATTATTTTCCAAAAAAAAAAGGTGAAACTGTTTTACTGGTGTGTTACCAAATGCCGCTACGATCTCACCTTTATAAAAGACATCAATAGCCTCTTGTGGCTGTTTCACCTCGACTTCTGTACAGTTGTGAACATACATGTTGTCTGAAGCATTTGTACGCAAAAGCTTAGTCTGGGGAGGCCTGTAAATATTCCAAACAATAATAATAATAATAAAATTAATAGTCTAAAAAAAAACACCTAATAGGTCTAATGAAATTAACTCACTGTTAAATCCACCTGGTCAGTACAGCATTCCACGTGTTAAAGCTACTGCAAAATGTATGTATGCGTGTATAGTTTAAGTGATTTTCGGCTGAACTGCAGTGAAACATGGGTGTATTTTATATCCCCTGTTATGTAGTACAGCTACTGAGTTGGTGATGAAGAAATGTGTTGGAAACACCAGCACTGAATTTGCAGAGAATTATACAATTGGAAGATCTCAATTTTGCAGATAATGTTATGTCAAGTAAGAACAACAATGATTTACAAAGAAAACAAACAATTTTGCACACACACAAAAATAGAATAAAAAGTTAAACTAGAAATAAGTTACGAACAGAAAAATATACTGTATACACCAATAACAGAGACAAAAATAAATTTACTTATTTAGGTAGCAGCACTGACAGTTGAAGAAAACAAAGACAGAGATTAAGATATGTGCTGACCATGCGCATAAAAGTCTGAACACAAAATGTACCTCCAAATTGTATAGCTTTAGAACTAAATTATGTATATTCAGTTGAAATGTTATTTCAGTTTTTACATATGCCAGTGATAGTTGAATAACCACTAAAGACAAGAAATGAAAGTTAACTGTATTTGAGAACAAATGCTCGACTAAAATGATGAATATAAAATGGGGTGAATTCAAGAGGAAAGAAGAAACAGAAATGTCTGGGCAACCACTAGTACCAACAGTTGGGGTATTCATTCACATAACATGTCCGAAAAGCAATCTACTTCAAACTTGTCTAATAAGTTCATGGCTTTCATGTTTCTCCTTTGTTCTGGTATAATTCCATGTTGTTGTGTTGTTTTTTTGCACTGTTATCAAAAACCATATCTCTGCTGTAAGTCTTCAATCAACTTATCTGCTTGTCCTTTTTAAATATACCATGTGCCCGGCTCGCTAGCGCATTTTGCTCAACCAGACTGCGCGGCGACCGAGCGACGAACATCTTGTAATATTCATAATATGCATCTCATCATATGATCATAACATGCTTTATTAGTAAAATACAACTGCTGTGCGAAAGATGGTTGACTGGAAGGGCCGAATGTGAGACGGGCCTGCGTGCCCTACCCTTTGAAAATAAAGTTAGTTTGTTCGTTCATGCCCGGGGGTGTGCAGAAAAGCCACATTCCTCCCAGATTTACGGTATCTATCATGGAATCAAGTCCGAAGGGTTGCTATATCCACAGTACCGAGCCAAACAGTTAACAACTCATGGTTTCTGGATTTTTTTTAAAAACAAACAAAAAATACCACATCTGTGTGCCTGTTAACAATTCAATTAAATCAGCCACTTAAAAAACAGTAATAGTCATTTACTTGTATCCAGTAATTGCATTGTAAGGCAGCTCTTCAAGAAGATCATAAACATAGTTGTTGTAGATCTCAATGTACGAGACAAACACAGCGTAATTATTGTCTTCTTCTACTGTGTCCACTTTTGTTACGTCAGTGATTCTTTCTGTATCACAGGAGTCCATTCTGAAACACAATCAGGAAAGTCGTATATTTAAACAACATACACCCCCAAAAAAGAAAAACGCACAAATATAAACAAATATAAATGATAGATCAAGACTAGGCTGCGAGTCTTTTCACCCCCCCCCCCCCCCCCCCCCCGAGAAGAAAGGCCTCCCAAATTCCGATCTCTGTAAACCCAAATCTCTTCAAAAATGATTGGATTCTGCAGTTTCTTTCCGACAAGGCAGCAGATAGCCCATCAATCTTCTATAGTTACCTCTATATGATATTGAAAGCATTATATGCCTCCCTTCCAACACAGAGGTAAAATATCTTATGGCTGCTAGAATATTTGCTCCAAATAGTAAGAGCTCTGCCTGCAAGGCAAGTCCCACAGAGAGATAAGTATGAAAACTGCCTTTTATCATTTTCATAATTTTGCACTAGTTTCAATCCTTACTGTCTGTAGTAATTTCAGCGTACTGCGATCAAAACCCCCTGCTGGCTGGATAGATTTTCATCACAGTGTGGGGCGTCGCAGGTTGGTGCAACCTAAAATGGGTACGAGGATAGATGTCCTGGGGGAGAAAAGACTGCTGGCGTAATGCTGACCACATTACCCACCTAGTTTCGATTGGTCTGTAAAAATATGGGGTGCTTTTCCCATATCCCTGATGCGCCCAAGGCATGAAAAAGGATCTATACTTTAGGAGATGTCTCTGTTGACATCTATATTTAAAATCCTTTTTTTTTAAATACTACTGACCCATGTAAAAAAAATTGTAGAGTTCTCCAGGAATTCCTATTGGTTTATGACCCACTGTTTTTAGCAGTCTTAAAATAAAAGGGTTTCACAAAAACATAGCCTACACATACTTTTTCAATGAAGTCTTGCTGGGTGTGGTTAAATTAGGCATAATATCCCTCTTCTGTCTCTCAAGCATAGCGTCAGCCTCAGACTGGACTTCAAATCCATTCAAGCGATCTGGCCTGAAAACCTAACCAGCAGAAAAAGAAAACATGTTTTAATATGCAATGAAAGATTTCCATTCAGGCAGAAAAATTCAGGTGTCAGCAAAAACAGATATACAACAATTACATGATGATATAATAATCCCAAGCATAGACACAGCAAATTGCATGGCGGTTACAAAGAAAGAAAGAAAACCACTAAGAGAAATAACTTACAACCATCACAAGTACAATGGAGCCTCTGTATGTGAACTAAATTAGTTATTAAAAGCTGTCAGGAAACCATCATTATCATGCCCATAACCTTATGTGTCGCTGGGTCACCAGTTTCTGTTGACTGTCTGATCAGCTCTCTCCACATTTAGCGGTCAGTTAGTTAGTTAGTTGGGTTATCATCATTGTACTCCGGACATGTCCATAGGTGCTCAGATCCTCCCCTCAGTATAATTTCCAATGTCCGATGGCTAATAGTACCTGTTCTATGTTGATTAACAAGTCTTCTGGTGTGTCTGGTGTGCGTCTTGTTTTTTGCTATGCCGAACTTAATTCCCAAGTCTGCCATTCTAACGAGTGATGTGGATTCTCTGCCCCCCAAAGTCCTCGGTCCTTCCCATTTCTCTGAGGGCATTAATAATATCAGCATGATCCATATAGCGGTCAGCTGCAATGGACTTCATGGTTGCATGCCTGAGGCCTGTCCAGTCAATCAGGTTCTGTAACCAGTGCTTTCTTGGTCTGCCTCTGCTCCTCTTTCCCTCTACTGAGCCCTGCAGTATTGTTTTGAGAGGCCGTTAAGTCTTATTTCATGTCCACACCATGGCATTTTTTGCATCTTCGCTGTAGTTAAAAGAGGTTCATAGTTGCCAGTGTGCAGCACAATTATATGGTGAACCTCTTTGTAATGTATTCTTTGTACGATATGCCAAGAATTTTTCTGAAAGATCGCATTTCCAATGCTTGTATCTTCCTTTCTAGTTCAGCTGTTAAGGTCCACGTTTCACAGCCATATGTAAATGTACTAATAGCTAATGATTTGAGCAATCAAATCTTTTTTTTTTGCATCAAATGTTTTTGGATCTCCATAATGTTTGCTGCTTGGTAAAGACAGTTGTCTGGGCAATCCTAAACATTATTAAATTTCCCTCACAAAAAATATAAAACTGATTAATTCACTCCAGGTGACTGCTGAAATATTTGAACTTTTCTAACAACATTTTATGATAAAACTAAACCCCAAAAAAAATGCAAAAGTAAAATATCCCATTGCACACAAAACATGAACACAATGAACAGAGAATTCGATAAGAATGGTCAAATATTATGTATGCTCAAGCATATAACGCGGCACTGAAGCCGTTGATAGTTAATTAGTAATCAGAGCGAAACTGGGTCCCTGGAGATATTGAGATACAAAAGAATATGTTGTATATAATAAAAAAACCTGATTTAGAGGTTTACGAGAGACTAGGAAGGGCAAGAGAGTTTACAGAAATAATAAGAGATAATGAAATATGTTGGTCACATTAAAAGATAATACTCTTTAAAACCATGCTGGAGAGAAAAGTAGAAAGCAAGAGATATACAAATGTGATACTATCAAGGGACAGCTGAACAGTATTCAGAAAGTGTACAATTAGGGGTGTTAGAAATCCACTGCAGCCAACCTACACTGTGCAGATGATACCTGGTTGATTGACTGCCCTTTTTGCAATTTTTATCTTCACACAAGTTATATCAGAAAATAAGGCACTCGTGTATGGTTTTATTAAAGGCACTCACATATTTAGAAGCCTGTTGTTGGCCTATGCTGTTAAATATCACGTCCAAACATCTGGGAAGGATGCCCTGGTCTTCAGGTCTTCCAGTCATGGTGTATGTCTTTCCAGATCCCGTAATTCCATAGGTGAACAAAAGACCTGCAACACAATGTGCATAAATTAACCTTGTAACACTGCAGATACAGAAAGTAACATGGTTGTTAACCCAGAACCCAGATGGGGAGCTGTATGAAATGATTAAACATGAATTGACCTAATTTATTACATTGAAATAAATCACCACATGGAGATTGAAAGGAAATTATTCAGGACATACTTTCTATATTGTGTAGAAGAAAAAAAACTGTGATAGAATTCTTTTGACCCAGACAATTTCTTGCACCAGATATATTTGTCCACTGAACAGATGTGGGAATTTTTCTGTTACCTGAGTGTAATTTTGTTTGTTTTTGCTTGTTTACTGATAACTGTTTAGCTGCATTACCTATAATGTCTGTTCATATTTTTTTTTTTACTTTTAGGTGACCTGTCATGCTTTGATTTTAAGCTGGTCATTCGCTCCCTTCCCGGGGATGTTACTAATTTGTTTTCAACAAAGAAAACCATAAGTTCTACAATTTAAAAAAATCAGTGTTAAACACTTTTCTACCAGCTGCAATATTATACTTTGATTTTACACTCTTCATCAGACCTACTCTCAGAAACATTAACATTTGTAAACTTAAAAAACATTTAACAAAAATCAGAGAATATGTTCACAATTTAAAATTAAATTGTTAGAATGGTACTCTGATTTTACTTTTCATATATATTTTTTTTTCACTTTCAGAAACATACAATATTTAGTTTTAAAATATCTGCCCAGTCGATGTTCCACAATTTTAAAACCAAACAAATTCTCACCATTTTTACCAGCTACCAAGTCCTCAACAAGGGGCAGAGCAATGTAATCAAACACAGTCTTCTGAGAAGCAAACTCATCAAAGACATGCTGGAACGTGAACTGGTACTGAAAAAGCAACAGAATATTTCAATAAATGCAAAACAGAAATTACATCAATATCTCAGCGCTTTGGCAAATAAACAGAATGACATATCATCAATTGGACTACTTATAGTTTTCACATGGCAGTATACTTGATCTTTCCTGTAAACCAATATTTCGTATCTTTGTTTTGTTAAGTACTAAACTATAAAGGTTAGGTTCTATTTATGATTGTGTTTGCCACAGCTTTTGACCACCACAGCTTTTCCCCTTTTAAAAAAAAATAAAACTATCATTCATGTCTTTTCTTCACATGTATGTCAGTGCTTCAACTCAACTGGTTAGACGTGTACTTTTCTCAGAGGTAAGTGATTCTGTGTAATCATTTTTTTTTTAAATAATTAATACTGTCTATTCATGTTGTGTGCCTTTGAAGGTTTTTTAAACCATGTTTATTTATCGTTTGTGGTCATCTGAAGCTGACTTGTTCTTTTTGTTTGGTTTCATGTCTGTTCATGTTTGTTTCCCCCATCTTTTTCAATTCACTCTCTAATTTCCTTTCTCCTGTGTTTTAGGTTCTGCCTTCATTCTTTTGACTATGTGGGTTCCAGTGCAAGGGCACCAGATATATTGTTCACATATTTTCTTATCATTAGCTTTACCAACGCCAGCATCTTTTCCTAGAACTTGTTTATTTTTCTCCCAAAGCTCCTGTAATCCCCTCTGTAATACAGTATTCTATTTTTTTCCCTCTGTTATGCACAGGCATCAGTTACTGAAGGTTTGTAGTTTATTAGTAATCATTATAATTGTTTCCTAGGTTCTAGCTCCATACAACAACACTGATTTGACCTTAGAGCTAAATATTTTATGAAAATAGGACTACTAAGTAGTAATAAATTCACAATTTATGACCATCTTTTGTAGATAAATCAATCTGGATAGACAAGAACATTATTTTTTTTTAACTCAAAGAACATAACTAAGGAATTGGTCACATATTATTAACAAAAAAGTAGCAAGTCCACTACTGTAATAAACCTTGGCTTGACTTGGACTGCGCTTTGGCTTACTACTTATTGGCTTTCGCCACGGCTCACTCTCTGGATGTTTACTGCTACAAAACTTTCACTGCTTTAACGTCTAGAGTTGACAACACAAACGCCGCTCAGCTTCTTGGTACATTCTGTCAGTTTATTCTGGTCCATTTATTTCACATGTTCAAACATTATTCATACTTTATCACCCGCGACATATTCGAACATTAAACATTTGTGCAACATAAAGACGACATCTTCAAATACTACAAACGTCTTCTCTGACTTCTGATGATCGACTGACCACGAGTCTAGCTCGGGCTTTTCCTCGCTTCCTCGGCTAGGCACAAGTATCTCGTGCTGTCCCTTGTTGCACGGACTTTCTGCTTGCCACTATGTAATCGTGAGGACCATGCAAAGCAGGGTCATTACAACTACCAATTCATAAAACAGCAATACGTGCACAGGAAGGACAACAGTTAGTGCAACAACCTGCTTTTGTCTGTTTACCTCTTTAAGTTGTCCATTTTTACCCACGGCATTCTGAAGCAAGAAAAAGAGAACAATGCAAACGACATGCTGTTATATGCAGGGAAGTAAGCATTTTGTGAACATAAAATTCAAGCTTTATTGCAAAAATGATAGAACATTATAAATACATAATAGTGTGCAGACATTATGTCCCCGTGTGGGAGAACTTTTCGCTATTCTGAAGCCCCACCCTGGTTGTTGCCAAGGGAGTTATAACTTAATGGTAGAACATGGTTTTTGGGTCCTCTCCACGGGTGATCCTCATCTACATGTTAGCACTTTGTGTCACCGGATGTTTATCACTCTGTGTGATGTCCTGGTGGGTACAACATCAGTCAGTCAAAATAATGTGCAGCAGGGAGTTCTAATAGCATCTACTCAGAAGTAACTATAGTAAACTAAAAATGAACAAAACAATAGTGTTTCTAATGTGAAATGGATAAAAGGTAATAAAAGACAGCAATGTGTACACTGTTAAGACTACACGAGGAATTGTATTCATTCTTCCTATCTTAACTATACCCCCCCCCCAAAAGAGGTTAAATCTAGCCACTTCCGGTTGTGACAGTCACATGAATGCCTATATATGGCCATGTCTGCTGTTGCATATTCTCAAGAAGTGTAGTTAAATTCCATTGGCCTGTATACACCTGTGAGGTGTTTAATACGCCAGGATATGAGACAGAAAAACAGTAGAAATAGCATTTAGTGTGGTTTTCTTATGAATCTAGTAGCTTCTTGAAAACCAAGTTGATGTCAAACTTCATAAGCCTCAGTGACAGTTGTCACAGCTTGAGCCACCCAATATATTTTGTTTACACCACGGGTATGCATTACATTTAATACTTAACTCTGCGTTTATTGATCACCCTAATATAAACCTTTGTATATATAAAATGATATAAAAAATATAATGGTGTGATGAAGAAGCTTCACAATGAACCTACTGCTCGAAATATTTTATATGATGCTTACATAAAGTTTTATCAATGGTAAAAGAAAAAGAACAAATACAAATATCAGAACTAACACTTTTGAAGTTAAAGTGCATCTGTCTGAGAGGCAAGGAGCCAACAATCCACACAGAGATAATTTAGATCTGTAAAATGAATGTGGACTAACACTCAGGGTCTGGAACCAGTGCAGGGTCTGGAACCAGTGCATAACTTTCCGTCAAAATTTACAGCCAGTAAACGCAAGGAAGAAATATACTGAGCAACTAGAAAATCACACTGGGTCTCTGGAAATGTGGATATACAGAAGAATAGGTTGACAACAGAGATAGACAACAATACAAGTAGGAGGACAACATCACCAGATGGACAGACAACAGTTTGAGAGAGTGCACTATCAAGACAACAGAGTGTTTGAGATCCACTACAGCCAGCCTTCACTGTGGAGACGACAAATTGACTGATTGATACTGAGATTGCTAAGCAAAGCTATATTAGTGAAAAGAAACAATAACTATACCTGGCAAATCAGGGGTAAAACAGAAAGCAAACATATGATCAACTAAAGTAAAGATTTAAGATTGATTAAAATGAAAGAAAAAAATATATGCCAAAAGATTTTTTTTAAATGCAAGTTCTAACTACTGTGCAAGTTCTCTTTGCCCCACACTTTCACTTTTTAACATATTTGTAAAATTAATGTCTGCAAATTAAAACTGTTTGATAATACTGGCCTGAAGGAGTTAAATTAATTACTGTGGTAGAAGCCTCATGTGAGACTGAAATTAAATTAATTAGCAAAAAAACCAAGCACATCTTGTTTTAAATGTAAATATTAACATTTCTTGTGCTAATGTAGTTTTCAGGCTTTGTGTGTGTGTGTGTGTTCACTGGCTGGAAAGTCTTGGTTGTTCATCCATTTGTATTCAGTTCAAAGACCTATGAAACATCTAAATATGACTCTCCTTCATTATAGATTTGTGGCCTAACTTTGAAATTTCTTAAAAATATAACATGGTGGACTTTTTTTGCTAACCATGCTTTCTTGAGGTTTTAGCGCCACATTCATACTGGACAGCAGGTTACTCAGTATACGTAAGGTGCCCCAATATAACTGTTATACGGTCAAACAGTATTTCCAGAAGCTGTTCCATTTCAGTCTTATACATGAAGTGTCAAACCTATAGAAAGCATCGTGGAGAGAGAGGGGGAAAGAACTGAAAGATGGGGGAGGAGGGCCAAATGCTTCCCATTTGCAGCAACTTCCAACTGTCCACAGAGAAGTGCAGCTGTTCCTTTAAATTTAAAAGAGGATATATATATATAACAAAATAAAGACATGACAGAGGAAAGTCAGAAAGTGGCAAGTCAAAGTCGGCAAACAGGAACTTTTACAAGAACCATTGGTGTCAAATAATACCACATGTCACTTTCGTCTTTAAAATGATTTCAAAATTGTCACACAAAAAAGGGTTTTAAAAAGACAAAACATCATGCGTGACCTTAATCTTTAAGATATTGATATCAAAATTATCCAGAAAACAGAAAGTCCTCTATGCAAACTTTGGGCGGCAGGTGTAAATCACAAACAGTTAATTAAAACAAGCAAAGGACTTTTTCATGCCTAAGGGTGCATGTGACATAATATATTAGATCCATGCTTTTATGGATCAATCAGCACTCGACAGGCGATGAACTTTGACAATCTTTAAAAGCCTGGAAATTTACTGACACCCATTTCTTCTTCTTCACGTTCATCGGCTTTTAACTCTGGCAGAAAGTTCTGGTTGTTTTTCTATTTCTTGACTTTAGTCTTGCTCAAGAAGTTGAGTTTTGTGTGCATATCCATTTTACAGACCTGACTTATTTGTATGCAGACTGTTGGTTCCTAGTCTCTCAGGCAGATGTACTTCAACTTTGAAGAAAACTTTACTAATCAGTCTTCTTATATCACATGATTGTTAGAGAGGCAGTGGGTATATTCTTTTCCTCGCATAATGGGACCCTGAAACTCACACAGGGTACCCATTTAAGACTAGTCCAACCTAGAAGCAGATTCAACACATAACCATCCAGCAAAAAGGTAAACGTCTAGAACCTGCTCTGTTAAAATCATTAGGGAGAACAGATCACCCTCAGGTGGACAGAGCTTTTCAACTTGCTGCCCTGGATTAAATCTCTCTAGAAGAAGCCAATCTTGCATATACAGAAGCCAGCCACTGATCTGAGGATAACCAGGTACAAATTTCCCCATCCCCAAGATATGTAGAAGAGGACCACAGATGGACATATCAAAACATTTATAAAGTAACAAAATGAGATGACATCCATAACTGTTGCAAAGAAATCTTTCCCACTCCTTAAACTCAAATCAATAAAACATACCTCAGGTGGTAGAAGCTGTACAACTGTGTCTCCAATAGCATTAACACACCCAGGTTCATTTGGATCATCCAGAGGACGAATCCTGCAGTACACCTGTGGCATATGCAATACAAAACTTTTAAGCTGGAACTTTGAATTGTGCTTTTTTATTATTATATTTTAGCAACATTAAAATATAGCTAATTCATGTATTGTCAAACTATAATTTTTTTTACTTTTACTGGCATTGTGGCACTCTTTTTTTTCTTAACAAAGAATCACATATAAGATATGTTGGACTGGAGGTGACAAGTATGTCTAAAAATTCAGAAAAAGACAAAGAGCGTGAGAATAAAACAAGTAAATGGAAACCCGTTTGCCTTTGGAAGAACTTTGGTATGACAGATCAGACAATAATATTTGCAGCAATGTGGGTCCAAATATTGCCAGAAGCATAAAGATAAGAAAACAAAACAATAGTTTTCCTAAGAAATGCTTGGAATTCAAACGAAATGAAATTTAATCTACTATAAAATTTAGTATACTATACAGCAAATTAGTACTTCTATGTGTTAAAAACATGGAGAACAGCCGAATTAATAATAAACTACTGTTATCCATTAACTTGCTTGCTTCCATGGCTTGGAGCAAGGCTATTCAATTGAGTTACCCAGAAGCCAAAATGTTAAAAATGGGGATTGTAGCGGGCCAGATGTCCGAACCCCCCCAAAGAAATATAACATTATGTAACTAGCAATGATCTGCAGGCTACTTGGTGAATGTGCTTAATAATTTCAGGATCCTCGAGTATTAGGGTTCGTTCCCAGTGGGTTTGGTGTATTTAAAAAAAAACAGTGGTCTCATTGTGGAAACAGCATATATTTATTAACTAGTGAACGCACAAAGTAGAAGAATTAAAAAGGTAATGTAGAATCACTAATGTGTAGCTTAGAACCGCACCCAACTATTAACTCTTGCTATGTCTCGGAGACAGTATTAGGACCAGTATGCAGGGCATAACTTATTACATTTGTCTGCTGCCATAAACTTTATATGATAGCTAGAATATTGTATGGCTTATCCCAGGTTCTTCTGTTTTAGCCCTCAGAAGGGTGATTTACAGCTAGGCTGTGATATCAGCTCCTTTCAGTCCAAAACATCTGATTAGTTACCTTTTAAAACGTAGGGAGGCAGTGGGCCTCCCCTCTCCTCCTCCACATAAGGCCTGGGGAACAGCTTTGCTGTTAATGGACACAAGGCAAATAACCACGCTTCACCTAACAAAGAAGAATCCTTACTCAGTTTATATTTTTGAGGTAACTAAACAAAAGACAAAATAGCTTGCTTCAAACTCCTCATTGGAAGCAAATGTCTAAGACTTCCATGATGAGAGGTACAATGAGATTTGTGTATTTTCGTTGAAAGGTTTCATTATTGTGCTTCATTAAGTGATGTAAACTTGTAATTCACCTAACTAGTTACAGCGAATTATACCAGGAAATAAGCTGCACAATTGTTTGTGTCGAAACTGTCATTACTGTCTCTACACTGCATTGAATATTTCTGTTGTGTAAGAAGGAGAGTATCTGAGGCTGAGGAAGTAGGGTCACATGACTAGTGCTGTTACCACAAAACTATGCAGTTTAGGATCTTAGTTTTGCCCTGGACAGAAAACTCACAAAGCTTATTAAGATTTAAAACACAGGTCTACTTTGTGAAAACTCAGCATTCTAGACCAGCCTTTCAGCCGCTCCTCATACTGTGTCCAGATTATAAAAAATAACAACGGTAAAAGGTGCAAACATTTACACACTGCCTTACCTCCACTGGCTCAGACTGGCGTGGTGAAGCATTCCGTTTTCGCCCAGTTTTAGTTTTCCTATTTGAAAAAGTTACAATTATAAAAAGTGTGTTGTGAATGGTATATTTCATTACTTATATTTTCTGGATGTGATAAATTGTAATAGTTAGATATAAAATTGTATATATGAATAAATCTTTGCTCATAACTTCATAAGCCAAAGTAGAGGCCCTATTTTCAATACTAGGCATAAAGGGCTAGACCCCTATTTTATACAGCAATCAGCACTCAGTGGGTGATATGGTCAACATCACACCAGCCGCCTTTCCTTCATACGACTTTACTTGGTACATATTTAAAGCTGAGTCAACCTTTGAGCCAAGGTTTTTTTTTTTTTGCAAAGTCCAACTCCGTAAGGACCTGAACACAGGGCTTTCAGATTGGCAGACGAGCGTTAAGCTGCTACATATGACTGATCCTTTCATAAGGCAAAAGCAGGATGTTTAAAAATTATATAGCCCTTTTACTACAATTTTTTTTTCAGACGATGTGCATAGCAATATTATCATCATCAGTGTCCAACATTTCTTTTGGTAAAGATCCTTTTTCCACTCCTTTAGGTGTATAGGACATATAGGGCTAGACCTTTATTTTTACAGACCAATCTGCAAAAATGGTGGATGTGGTCAGCATCACGTAAGCCGTCTTTACTTCCCGGGACTGCACCTGGTACCCACTTAAGGCTGGGTCGACCTGGGAGTCAAATTCATTTTTGAAAAAAGTTCGGCTCAGCCAGGGAGTGAGCCCACAACCTTCCGATCCGCATGCGAGCGTCTAGCCACTAGACTCCAATTTTCTTCTAGACTTCTCTAATGCCTTAATTTAAAACTGGCCCATGGCTCATCCGCCCTCTATATTTAGCCATACCTGCAAGCTTGCCAATTTCTTTCTACATCCGCATTCCCTGGCATGAAAATTAAATTTTGTTATCAGCTATGACCGCCTCAGAGACACTAACCAGTGTCTTTGGTCCCTTTCTGAGGATACTCATTGAACCACTGAAAAAGCATGCTCGAGTGCAAGATCTACATCTCCAGCCATGTTTCTGCTTTAGTCTGAGACACTGGGCGTGGCTCTCAGTCCTGCTGGTTTGAAAACACTTCTAATACAAATACCTCGAATAGCCCATTACAGGTACAGAAAAAAAACAGACAGAAAAGAATGATGACTATTTTAAACAAGTTTAAAATGGGTATGTATCTGAACATTCAACTATAGCTAGCTAAAAACTAGAATTCACATGTCTTCAGGTTGGAGACTAGGTGTGGCCCAGACCCCTGTGTGATACAAGGCACTTCTAAGTTTAAAAAAATACAGCAACTTTTTTTTTAACAAACCCTTGCCAGTAAACTGGTCTGTAGCGTACATTAAGTTTTTTTAAATGCTGGATAAAATTAACATGATTTAACTGTGGGGTGACTAAATTGGCAATTGTGCCTAAGTCTAAGCAAATGACAGGTCAGACAGAGGCTGGGGCACTGGTTTTGGCTTCGATCTCACTTAATTTTGAGACATTTTTAAGAAATACTATTCTGGGGATACCTTGTGCTTGTCTTGATGGTACACATAGCAGCCAGTGCAAAAAGTGAACAGAAAAAATAAGTTTTTAAAAAAAAAAACGAATATGTTTCAAACTGTCTGCTGAGTTCTGAGTTTACAAGTGGACCTTAAACTGTTATACGTAGTTTGTGAGTACTAACAGCTGTAGATTGTATACGAACAAATAAATTATATTTTAAATAGTTACTTATACTACTAGACAAACATATTGAGAAATCTGAGATCTAAAACAGGCGTGCAGTGAAATACCTAAATAAATGAATTATATGGGACATGTTGAATGATAAATTTAAATAAGAAACCTTAATCAATCAAAAGCAACTATGTCTTTGCTTTCGATTTTGTTTAATTAACACTTCTGGTGCGGTTAGCAGTTTATTATTATCACCGCCTAAAACATGATAGACCGTATAATATCAAAATCGGTTGATTTCATATTCACAAGTCTCTAGCTAAACAGTTTTCAACGTCAACTTTTTTGCATTCATTCATTCAATCAAAATAAAGTATCTCCCGAACTAAACTGAAATTTCTCTCATTGTTCATGATTTCGGAGTGTTGTTAAAATTTAAAAATAAAAATTAAACGCCTTTAGTTACTACTACTCTATATTATAACAAACACTTCACAGCAAACTGTATACTTACTGAGACTTCATTATGAAATGTTAGAATAATCCTTGCGTAGTTTCACTTGTGTTAAAATCCAAATAAGAAGTAGGAGCGCAGAGATAGTCTAAAAGACACTGGTCCTTGCTCTCACAACCGACGACTGGTGACTGAAACAATGAGCGACAAACATCCGCTTTTTGAATTTCGTGCTTGGCTCCGCCAATCATTTACCTAGTTTAGTTTCGTACTGTGTGGTACTCGCAAATTATCGTCGCTTTTGCCTGACTCCTGATGTTTAATAATGTTTTCAGTTTTAGAATGACAAACTTATCCCTTATTTGTTAAAATTTTTACTAAATTCCTAGAATTCAATTATTATTATTTTGTAATAGCAGTTTATAAAATTTGCTCATGTTTTCTTCTGTTTATTCCTCAACTCCTGAAATTGAATAATGTTTATAATGGGAAAGGAACACAAAATATGAATTTTAAATCTTGAACAGAAATCAGAAAAACTTGAAATAGCTCTGACACAATAGTGCCTCCAATCCCCCCCCCCCCCCCCCCCCCCCCCCCCCAACAACAACACAAAAATTTACAAAAAGAATTATTAATTTTTTCTTTATTATCTTAATTTTTTTTCCCTACATGTGCTTGTGTAAAAGTTAAGTTCTAGTTATTTATTTATTTTGTATCGCTGTGTTATTTATGTTTCATGCAGTTAAGGTACCAATTGTCACCATTATTAAGACATCCAAGCATAACTATGAGTGCAAAGAGACAGATTATTAATAGCATATTTATTCCAACATTAAGCTACCAGTGCCAAACATGGACACCATCTAAAGCCCATATGAGGTGCCTGAGAAAAGCAGCCAACCTAACAGTGAATAATGAAACTATCAGGCAAATTGTGGGAACAACACCTTGTACTAGATTCATCGAGAAACAGCAGATCAAGTGGTTTGGCCATCTCGTTAGAATGCAGCACTACATATCAGAAGATCAACTACAAGAGCAAGAGGACAGCCGCGGAAAAATGGATCGACAACATTAAAGACACTCTACGCCTTCACGGCATGACAATAGCCGGTGGCAGCCAACGTGCTCTGGATCGCAAATTATTCCTCCCCACGACGCTTAACGGCAGAAGTGGTTCATGATGATGATGATGATGATGATGATGATGATGATGATGATGAACGTTCGTTCCATGTCTTTAGTGGTTCTCCAGCTTTCAGTGGCCTATGTTTTAACTAAAATAACATAAAATGTTTTTAAAAAAATGTTATTGGTTTTAAAACAATTCAGAGTCAAATATTTTAGTCAGAGTTTTAAAAGCTGCAATGCCTTGTAAGACTTCTTTTTCTTCGTCTTGGATGCTTTTGTCAAAAAACATATTAGGAGACAAGCAGCTCTGATGAAAGCTATCATGCAGTGCAAATCACTCTGTGTACCATACAGCTTTGTCTTGACTGAAGTTGGAACAGTGGGTCTCTGTTGGCAACAAACAGTTGACAGTGTGGGAGAACGCAATCAGCATTTATGGTGCCAAATTGCAGGGACAGCCTTGCCAATGAGCATCATAATTGTTCTTTGTGGCTCCTTGGCAACTTAAATTACTAAATACGTATTATACTGATATTTTACTCACAGTCTGCTTGTCTCCTGTGTACTTTTTCTGCTTTTGATGTCTACAGCATATTTGTTTTGTCATAACTGATCCGATCCATCATAGCTTTCAGCACACTAACTCCTCCTCCTTCTTCTTCTTCTTTCATTCGCTTGAAATAGATTATCGATATCTGCAATGTTGTCTCTGGTACGAAGTTCACTGTCTATTGTTTTTCAATCAGCGACCTGAAAAGTTTGGCATGTACAGGTGTTTCCCTGGGCCAAACGTTTTGCCTTGATCAATTGTCTCAGGTGCTAATCCATATGTACACGTGGCTGATCCGCCAATCTTAATTTTTTATTGTTTTTTGCAAGTGGCTGCGAAGTCAAAGCATATTAACGTAATATTAATATATAGGATTACGATTATGTATCCCTTAAACAAGGTTTGGCTCCAGTCTAGGAAACTACCAGAATTGCAAACACAGCTGACACAACTCAGTCTTCAGCGAAGAGTCGTAATGCAGTGGATACCGTCTCCCTGTGGAGTGCCTGGAAATGAGAAAGCTGATCAACTGGCAGGAGAAGGTGCGACAAAAGTGCAGCCGGATGTACCAGTCACATACCACCAAAAGAAAAGAATCAACAAATCAATCAGGAAACCACCAGCCCCAGCACAAGACGACTATTTTATTTTGGACAGATCAGAACAAGTCATTACCCTCCGCCTCAGAACAGGGCACAACCGATTACGTAACCACATGTACACAAAATTCAAGATAGGCGTATCAGCCATGTGCACCTGTGGAAATGTGCCCCAGACAGCAGAGCAAGTACTCCAGGACTGCACCGAATTTGACACATTAAGGCAAACCATTTGGCCAGAAAGAACAACAAAGGAACGTAAACTCTATGGACCACTGAATGAACTAACAACGACAGTGAAGTTTATACAAGAGACAAAACTGCTGATATAGACAACTTATTTCAGGCGAACGAAAGAAGAAGAAGAACAAAGTTTGGGTCCTTGACCCCCCCCCCCCCCTTTTGATGTTTCCTCTATGTCCGCGCCTCTGAAACAACGTGTTTTCCGGTGTGCTAAAACAGTCATAGATTTCACTGTTCATGTCTTTGAGCTATTAACTTTGTAATATTCACTTGTAGATCTGCAGTCATTCTGTTTGCTCCACGTTTATACCTCTCATTCTGTCCCTAAAATATTTACTCGCAAAGTAGTTTTTTTTTTTTTTTTTGTTATTAGAGTGCAAATAATATTATGGAATGATAGAAGAGCCAACGTGACAATCCTCATGAAAGCAGGTGAACACTGTAAACTGATATGAGAAATCTTCTTCTTCTTCCTGGCGTTCATCGGCTATATACTCCGCTGGAAAGTTCTGGTTGTTCGTCCACTTCTGGTCCTGTTCCAGAAACTGAGTGTTGGTTGCACATCAGTTTCATAGGTCTAACTTATTTGCGTGCAGACTGCGTGCAGGTGAACTCCGACTTCGAAGGAAGCTTCCATTTAGTCGACTCCTATGACATGCTTTTAGGCAGGCAATAGGTCTATTCTTGTTTTCACCGGGACCCACACAGAACCCGGAACCCACACAGAGTCAGATAAATTAAACGCAGGCAGTCGATTGGGGAAAACTTTGCCGAACATCGATGAGAGAGGTCTAAGGTCTTGCGCTGAATGTCATCAAAATTGTTGCTGCTGCTACTTGTACCCCACCAAGACAGCACTCAAGCGATCCACACCCGCTGACACAAGTGCCACCATGTGGATGAGGATCACCCGTGGAGAGGTCCCAGAAACCCCTTTCAGTCGTTATGGCCACAATTGTGGCCCAGCTATATTCAGGGCCCCTGGCAATAGCCAGGGTGGAGCTTCAAATAACGAAAAATTGCAACCCACAACGCGACTACTGGTAGTGACAAATCAAAAATTTTAAAATATTGCACGTGGTTGAACGGAGTGGAGGAAACGATTATGTCGCACATAAACGGGATAACATGGGGAGGATAACGATGATGATCAGCTAGATAGTTAGTCAGTCAGTCAGTCGATCGGTCGGTGGGTTGGTTGGCTAGTCAGTCACTCGCTTGATCGGTCGGTCGGTTGGTTGGCTAGTCAGTCAGTCGATCGGTCGGTCCATTGGTTGGTTGGCTAGTCAGTCAGTCAGTCAGTCAGTCAGTCGGTCGATCGGTCAGTAGGTTGGCTAGTCAGTCAGTCAGTCGGTCGATCGGTCGGTTGGTTGGCTAGTCAGTCAGTCGATCGGTCGGTCGGTTGGTTGGTTGGCTAGTCAGTCAGTCAGTCGATCGGTCAGTAGGTTGGCTAGTCAGTCAATCAGTCGGTCGGTTGGTTGGCTAGTCAGTCAGTCGGTCAGTCGGTCGATCGGTTGGCTAGTCAGTCAGTCATTCAATCGATCGGTCGGTTGGTTGGTTGGCTAGTCAGTCAGTCAACCAGTCGGTCGGTTGGTCGATCGGTCGGTCGGTTGGTTGGCTAGTCAGTCAGTCAGTCAGTAAGTCAGTCGGTCGATCGGTCGGTCGGTTGGTCGGCTAGTCAGTCAGTCAGTCGACAGATTATCATCTTTGCACATGGAACTACCCAGTCCATAAGTGCTCGGATCTGCGCTACCACAGCTAGATTAAACATGAAATAAGCCTCCTAAACAGTTGCTTCCAGTCTTAGGAAGTTTTCATTTAGAAGACTACATTTTCTTGTCAACATACCCGTAAAACTACCATGCAAAAGATCCTATGAGAAACATTAACAATTGTATCGGTTGGCAGAACTGACTGACGCTCAACCCCACTAGGACTGTACATTGACTGTTGAACAACCGGTGGCTCGGAGTGCCACAGTTTGGATGAGAATCACCAGGGCGCAAGTCACAGGAACCCCGTTCAACCCGTAGGTTATATTTAGGGCCCCCGACGAAAACCGGGATGGGGTTTTTAAATAACAAATATTGCAAGCAGGGTTTACTCACAAATGGCGAAAATGCAAATTTAGATCTCAAATACACAGGTAACATGGTCTGCCACTTAACGATGCAAGAGATCATATCTAATTCTTTCTTTCTAGAAATGCTGCGCTGGCCCGTCTATAAAAGTATGAGACAAGCACCATATATATAGAACATCTCTAAGCTGAAAATGGATATTCTGCCACTGTTTACTTGCAAAAATATATTAAAAGTAAAGGTCCCTTTACACGCCATTGGTATACTGGGCATGTCAGGCTAATCCCGTATTTTTGTAGAAGTGATCAGCATCACACCGGCCACCTTTACTTTCCAGGATTTCAATTGGTACCCATTTAAGGCTGGGGTGATTTGGAAGCCAAGGTCACGTTTGGAGAAAAAAAATCAGCAACCGTGGGGATTTGAACCTACGACCTTTAGATTCGCAATATAATTGTATCACT